ATTTAACTTTATACTACTGACGTAATTAATTACATTATTTGATATGCTCAAAATCAATTTAGAATCAACTTAAGTTCGATTCGAATTTCATAGCAACTTGATCTACATTTGGAATTCAGTTTCAACTTAAGTTGATTCTAAACCTATCGGGATTCCATTCCAACGTACAACATTATCATTAGTATTATCATTAGTAAACGTTTTTATGCTGTCTTGTTTATTTACTTAAAAATTATTTTGCGCAAGATACGTATAACATTATGTAGGATGATATCAGAATTTATCATTTTCCATATCGCGAATCTTTCGTTTTTATTAAATATACGTTTGATTCGTCAAATAATTAAACATTTTGCGACATAGGTAACGGTAACCTGCTTTATTTGGCTCAAAGCTTATAAAAAAAGTGATAATTATCACATAATCTGATGTTACTAAATTTAAAATTCATAATGTACGTACGTACGTACGTATAATGTGAACGATAAAAAAAAAGATCTATATTATGAAAAAAAAAGATCTATATTATGTAAACGATAAAAAAAAAAGATCTATATTATGTGAACGATAAAAAAAAAAAGAAAAAGATCTATATATTATGTGAACGATAAAAAAAGAAAAAGATCAATATATTATGTGAACGATAAAAAAAAAAAAAGAAAAAGAAAAAGATCAATATATTATGTGAACGATAAAAAAAAAAAAAGAAAAAGAAAAAGATCTATATATATGTAACGATAAAAAAAAAAAAAGATCTATATATGTGAACGATAAAAAAAAGAAAAAGATCAAAATATTATGTGAACGTTAAAAAACAAAAATGAAAAAGATCTATATATTATGTGTGTGATAAAAAAAAAAGAAAAAGGTCTATATATTATGCGAACGATAAAAAAAGAAAAAGATCAATATATTATGTGAACGATAAAAAAAAAAAAATTGAAAATGATCTATATAATATGTGAACGATAAAAAAAGAAAAAGAAAAAAAAAGATCTTTATATGTGAGCGATAAAAAAAAAAAAAGAAGAAAAAAGAAAACTATTCTTAACGTCAATTTCACACAACGCGGTGTTTTATGAAAGCAGGATCATAAAAAAAATCATTATATGAATGGGAAAAAAGAAATGTTAATCCATCGTGCATTACATCTTGTGAGTTAGTAAAGAATGTGTTTATACCGTGCACTACATCTTGTGGGTCAAATTGTGAGTCATCTTGTGGGTCATCTTGTGGGTCATCTTGTGGGTCATCTTGTGGGTCTTCTCGTGGGTCTTCTCGTGGGTCATCTTGTGGGTCATCTTGTGAGTCTTCTCGTGGGTCATCTTGTGAGTCTTCTCGTGGGTCATCTTGTGAGTCTTCTCGTGAGTCTTCTTGTGGGTCTTCTTCTCGTGGGTCTTCTTGTAAGTCGGTTTTTTTGGAGCGGTGGTTATTTGTTGAAGGGTAAATTAATTCGTCGACATTTATTGTCAACTCATAGGGTGCAGGAACAGTGTGCGGATGTTCGTTATTAACGTACTCATTTTGCAACGAAACACCATCTGCACAAGAGACTGGCGCAGGTACGTTTGGGGTGATATTCGATACGAACCGAATACCGCAACTCTTAGGAGCTTTTTTCATAACGATGGTGTTTTTTAAATTTAAATTAAAATAACATTACTTTTTACTTAGGAGAGAATCAAGTTGAAGGGAGCGTCGTCTTTAAATAATGAAATTTCTATCATTCCATATGCAAGAGAAAATTTTCATCGAAACCACGTATTACAGTATAAACAGTATTGTAAATGCGTATATATACATCAGAAGAATTATTATTTAATTTAGAACTACAATCATTTTAGCTTATTATTGCAAACCTTTATTGTTGTATGTATATGTGGTTTCTCCTTTTGCAGAATATCCAAATAATTGCTTCTAAAGTTACGTAGCCTGTTCTATATAAAATCTCTACGGATAAATGGGTTTAAAAATAAACGTAATTTTTTGGAATAAACACGTTGGACAATCATCATTTAACAATAACTGATAGTCGGTATTGATATCTAAAAAATATTGTTAATTGCATTGAAACTCTCGAATTGGTAATGACTCAAAGATTTATAGAAGTTGTCAACCAAAAAAGTCACAAATGTGGGTTACACATCCTTATGACACTTCGCACATCAATGGATCTATCTGGTAAGAATTGTTGGCGAAGTTGCATAATTATATATAGATATTGGGTGCGTAATGATCAATAATTCATTAAAGTTTTGAGCGAATAATACGTACTAAAATTGCAAGTGATCTGCAAGGTGCATCTGGACATGATTGATCGAAAGAACTTTTGCGAGTGATACAAATTAAACAAAAATATATAGATTTTGGGTGCGTAATGATCAATCATTCATTTAAGTTTTGAGCGAATAATACTAAAATTTGCCGGTGATCTGCAAGATGCGTCTGGACATGATAGATCGGAAGTACTTCTACGAGTGATACAAATTAAACAAAAATATAGATCAATCATTCATTAAAGTTTTGAACGAATGATGCTAAAATTTGCCGGTGATCTGCAAGGTGCATCTGGACTTTATAGATCGGAAGTGACGGCCCCCAAAGGTACTGGTCAGATGATAAGACGCCACAACCACTACATAATTTCTTAAAAATGGTTGAATCGTCTAGCTCCCACATGCAGCTTTATTATTGTAAAAATTTCTTAATCCGATTTACACAACAACGCAATTTACTACTGGTTATTGAGAAGCGACTGTGCGATAACTACCCCAGGATCGCCAACAAAATTTCTATAATTTCTATGTAATTTTTACCATCACGTGATGATCGACGAAAT